GAGGGGATGATGGCTGTTTTCAGCTGGTCACACCCCCTTCAGGGTGGGGGTCCCCAATGGGGTGCCTGGCCAGTCTGGGTGAGGGGCTGAGGGTCGTTTTCAGGCTGGCGGGTGACTGAAGCTCCCAACCTCTCCTTTTTTTCTTTTTTTTTTATTCTGGGATTTATTTACCTTCTATGGCTGTCACTGGAGCTGAGAGCTGGCTTTAGCTCTGAGGCTCGGCTCCAGCTCTGAGACCTCGGCTGCTGAAAGCAGGTATCTGGGCTTTGTTTAGCTTCTATAATTGAAACACTGTTGCAACTCCAGCTCTGAGGGCCAGCTGGCTGAAAGCAGGTTTCTGGGGATTGTTTAGCTTCTATAATTGCAACATAGTTGCTTAGAGTGCAGCTCGGAGCTGGGCGGCGGCAGGCGGGGAACCTTGGCTTCCTCCATCACTGGAGCAAGCAAGCCTCCTGTTTGCTTCAGCTGCCTGGCTGCTGACCGCCATCTTGTTTGGCAGTTAATTTGCATATCGCCCTGATTAGCCAATGGAAAGCATGTCGGAGGTATGGTTAATTACCATGTTTGTCTATTATTAGATAGGATTATTATTTTGTATAATGTTCCCCAGCATTTTAATTTTGGCCTAGGAGTGGTGAACTCTTTCTGTCTCCTTCAAATACCTTGGTACTCATTCTATTACTTTGTCTGAATGTGGTCATTTCAAGGTAAGCTAGGTGGAGAAGCTGTGGAGGTGTTTTGGGGGAAGGAAAGCCTTTCTTCTCAAGTCACATCTCTGAAGCGTCCATGTTTGCAGCTTTGAATCTATGTCCAATTTTGTTCTATGGCAATTCTAATTTACAAGCATGATGCAAAATTATACCTTGTTTAAAAGTTAGGAAATTATCAGAAAGTAGATTCTTCCTTCCAAAGCAAAGATGCACCAAAGTTAAACAGGCAAAGCAGACTTTACTTAAGGCTATAGCAACAAGCAGAGACAGACTGGGACTTAGTCTGAGCCACTTGCACTGGGGTACAGCAGGGCTTTTAAAGGCTGGGTGAGCAAGGGGAAAAGTACTGGGGAATGTTATGCCCTCTGTGTTAGTTACTTGACTTTATCCAAAGGAAAAATAAATTCATATTTTTATGATAGGAGGTCGCTTTGCAACTTGGATCAAGACACCCACTGAAATTAGGCTCCTCATCTCCCACAGCAACTGGGAGATAGGCCCCTATCTTCTTTAATGATGACATTTCAAAGAGGTGGCTCCTAGACCCTTGAGAAAGACATTTTTGGGTTATTAAACTGGCAAGAGGCTTAACAAATTACATCCCAGAGCAGGTAGAGAATAGGCAGTAATGAGTTTTCTAGAGAAAATGCTTTAAGTAAAAGAAGTTCAGGGCCTCCAGGGAGGAAGAAGCCTGTCTCAAGTTTAGCTGAGGGAATCCTTGCTGTTGTCTTGTTCACCTTCTTCTCTGAGACATTAATTAATAAGCTCATGTTGGAGTTGCCATCTGTTTCCTGGCCAACTATCTTATTTGTCTGCCTGTTGGTTGAACTTGGCAAATGTGCCAGCTTGGCCAGGATGCCAGGGCTCTGAGTTGCTTTGGGGGCTGATGGGGTTCTCAGGGCTTCAGAAGGGGAAGTGTGGCTGCTAGTTGCTGCCACATTCTGGTGTGAGTCTGACACCTGCTTCCCTCTGTGCGGAAGAGAGAACCGCTGACCCTCTTTGGTTCAGAGCTAGACGCCATTGGCCAGATAATGTTTTCCTGGAGTGAGGACTGAGGGCCTCGTGGGTGGCACCGTGGAGTCTTCAAAGCTCTACCATGTACCTCACCTGGGCCTTTCATGGAGCCACATCCATGGGCATCTCAGGAGCATAGCCAGGGCTTGGCTCTTGGTCATCTTTTCCTGTTTTAGCTCCATATCCCGCACGCACTCGCCTCCAACACCCACTTGCCTTCAATACCCACTTGCCTCCCACACCTGCACCCTCCTATACCCACCCTCCCACACCCCTTCAAAACCTACTCCCCTCCATCTCCCACACCCCTCTGACAGCCACTCCCCTCTGACACCCACTCCCCTCTGACACCCACTCTCCTCCATCACCCACTCCCCTCTATCACCCACTCCCCTCTGACACCCGCTCCCCTCTATCACCCACTCCCCTCCGACACCCGCTCCCCTCTATCACCCACCACCTCTGACACCCACTCCCCTCTATCACCCACTCCCCTCTGACACCCATTTCCCTCTATCACCTATACCCCTCTGACACCCACTCCCCTCTGATACCCACTCCCCTCTGACACCCACTCCCCTCCATCACCCACTCCCCTCTGACACCCACTTCCCTCCAACACTGCTCCCTCTGGCACCTCCTTATTTCAGGGCATAGGGAAGTTTCACCTTCTGCTCAAGAGAGGTAGTCAATCTCTGTGCCAAATGGCTTGTCTGGAAAGAATCTGTGTGGGGGGAAAGGAAGCAGTAGGCTAAAGGATCAACGAGGAGAAGCAAGAGAGACCATTCTGGCTAGTGCCATGCAGTGAACTGGGATATGCTTAAGGAGGAGAAGATGAAGATAACTTGCACTGTGGTCCTGCTTCCTCCCAGACTCCAGAGGAGCCAGTTCTGGAAGGCTCGCCCTTTATGTTATTTATTTAATCAGAAATATGAAAAAAAAAATAAAATAAAAAGCACATCAGAAAACAAACACTCAAATACTCTTGGGGTTTCTAGGAGCAATTAAGGTAAAATGATCTCATTTGACTGGGATCAGAATGCATGATGGGAGAAGGGGTGGGGGAGTGAATGTCAGAGCCCACTCTTGTTGCTCTGGGTCAACAAAAAGCCCCTTTTCCTGGGCCTTGTTTTCAAATCATGTCCTGCCACCAGGGTGTAGTAATCATGTTGTTTAAATTAGTGTTTGTTTTTAACATAACAATACTTAGGAGCGATGAGCAAATTTCTAAAAAGAAATAATGGCAGCAAATGAAGACCAGAAACACCCTCTCTCACTGAGGGAGAATTGGGTCCCTATAACTCAAGCACCAGCGGGTAGGCTACAAAATTTGGAGCCCTAATTTTGGTGTCAGACAGTTTGGGTTTCTACCCTTGCTTTGCCCCTTTCAAGCTGTGCAGCCTTAGAAAAGATGCTGAACCTTTCTGAGCTCCTCTTTACAATGGGAATTTAACTCTCAAAGGGTCAAAGGGATTAAGGTAGAAAATATATATGACAAGTGTGGCAGTGCTCCGGGATGGGGCTGCCACATAAAATACAGGACACCTGGTTAAATTCAAATCTCAGAGGTAGCATAGTCCTAGGTTGAAATATCAACATGGCAACAAAATATGCTACCCACACGTGATTTTTTTTCTTCATATAAACATTTCGAATAGTTTAATTACTAGGTGCCCTGTATGTTTATTTGCTAAATTTGGCCACCTTACCCTAGCATGTTAGAGGCATTTGGTAATGTTTTCTCATTTTCACTTCCTCATAAGCTGATCTAAAAAGGACCTCAGACACTGCCTGATTTAAGTGTTGCTAAATTGTGGTTGCAGGATGGGGAGATAAGGAAAGATGACTGTAGCAATATGGGCTATAACCATATTCTTATTACCACAAATAGATAGTACAAAAAATAGCATCAAACACGGAGGGCCAGCATAGCATCCTACCTGATCATTAATTCACATGCTATGGAGAGTTTAAATAAATTATGGTTCTCTCAAATGACGCATTTTCATCTAGAGATTTAAAATTATGTTTATGGTAAGTTTTGTAATAACATGGGAAAGTGTTTAAAGCATAGTTTTGAGAGAGAAAGGCAGAATAGAAAATTGTAAATACATTATGCTCTCTACTACATTAAAATGCATAGAAAATATCTGGGAGGAAATATGACAATAACTCTGGGTTATTAGATTTTTTTTGTTCATTTTTGCATCTTTAGCGTTTTCAATATTGTCAAAACTTTCTACAATGAACTCTTAGCTTGAAGGTAATGTTTAAAGTTCTCTCTTAAATTACATTAGAATACACAATTTAGCAATTGTTTTAAATGATAAATAGAATTCTAAGTGAATTAAACAAGTGGCGGGAAACAACGTAAGTTTATTGACAAAACATAGTGTGTTCAGATTGTACAAAACCATACAGTTGATCTTTTAAAAAAAAATCCCCTTTGTTATGATGCATAACACAAACAGGAAAGTGTATAAAATACAAATGTACATTATTTTTAAAACAGAGACCCAGGTAACCACCTTGGTCAAAACACAGACTGCTGTCAGTGCCCCAGAGGCCCCCATATCTCCTTTCCCAGTCACAACTCACTCTCTTCTGCCAAGTTGGTTTGTGTAATTTGCTTCCTTTTCTTTTCATTTCAGCTTTACCACCTAAATTGCATCCCCCCAAAAATGCAGATTAATTTGGCTTGTTCCTGAACTTGATATAAATGGAATCATGTGTCTGGCTTCTTTTACTAAACATGCTTGTCTAGCATTGTAATCATTTATTCCTTTTTTTGTTGCCAGTTGATATTTCAACCTAGGAATATGCTACCCCTTATGTGTCCATTCTGCTGTTGATGGATATTTGGGTGGATTCCAGGTTTTGGTATGTGAACTGTGGCTGCTGTCAATGTGCCGGTCCACGTCTCCTGGTGCACATGTGCTCACTGGGGCTGGTATTCTAGTTTCTGTGACCTTACCCTGTGCTAATGAGATTTCTACCCATCTGTGACCATAAAAGGGAAAACTGATAAAGACCCTGGAGTTTGGGAATCTGAAGCTGTGGATCTTGCTGTTATGGATTGGTTCCTATTCATGACAAATTCATATTGCAAAGGACTGAAAACCCAGCAGTGTTCTTAAATGTCAGAATAAACCTGCTGTTACTTTAAATGCATTCAACATTCTTTTAAATGGCAAGAAGCAGTCTTAAAAGCTTTTTTATTTCAAATTAATAGCATATAAATGTGAAAGTCTCTTTTGTGACTGACAAAAACATTTGCCAATATTCCAAATTAGACCATTTGTTTTTAGCCAGAATCAGAAAAAAATGTTTTGAGCTGGAAGGGATTTTAGAGACACTACCTAGTTCAATCCCTTCATTTCATAAATTAATAACTGAAGCCTCCTTGAGGTTTAATATCTTCCCAAGGTCATACTTAACTAGTGTAATACCAAGACTAGAATGACAACTTCTGACTTCCAACGTTGTATATTATTAAACTCCCCCAAAATATTACACAGAGTCACCTTTAAAATTTTTTTTTAAATATATTTTTATTTCAGAGAGGAAGGGAGAGGGAGAGAGAGAGAGAGAGAAACATCAATGATGAGAGAGAATCATTGATTGGCTGCCTCCTGCACACCTCCTACTGGGGATTGAGCCCCAGCCTGGGCATGTGCCCTGACTGGGAATTGAACCTTGACCTCCTGGTTCATAGGTCGATGCTCAACCACTGAGCCACGCCAACCGGGCCAGAGCCACCTTTTAACTATTGGACGTGCAGAAGACTAAGAATGTTATTGTCACTGTCACCATCATTACATCTGATGTTCATATGAGCCCTTCTGCTTTATTTTCCTGATGCCTCATTGTTATCACACAGGTATAAGATGATGCACATGCTATGGCACTGGGGCAGTGGCCACTTTTTGTAATATTTCAATCCATATGGCAACAGATGGTTGTAAATTGTTAAGCTCTTGAAAGTCGCAGCTCTGTATTTATCATAACCATTGAATGGAAGAGCATTGGAGACAGCAACTCTTTGTAAAATCTTGTCCTGTGATTCCAAAATGTCTGTCTGAGATCTGGTACTAGTTTGGGATGGTGTTTTTCTTCATCTGTGGTAACGTGAGAAAAAAAGAAAGGACAATAGCAAGGAGTTTTTTATAACGTTAAGGGACTACCTTTGGTGCTAAGACTTGTCTTTTCTACATTTTTGTGTGTTAAAAAGCACTTTCTCTAATAGTATTTTTCATGATATTTATAGTTTAAAAATATTTTTGAGGACAATGCTTACAACTGTTTTATCTCACTATCATATATGCAGTTCCTCGCATAGTGACTGACATATAACAGAGAATAAATACTTAAACAAATGAGTAAAAAGTTAATAAACCTAGTTTGGTCACCAATTTGGGGGTGGGGGAGGCCAGGAGAGAATTTTACTAATGGCTGAAACATAGAAGTCTGGTAAATTTCAGATTCTCACTCCTGAGAAGCAGTCCAAAACACCTCGTGTATTGGAATGTCCTCTGAAAATTCACATCTGCCTGGACCCTCAGAATGTGAGCTTATTTGGAAGTAGGGTCTTTGTAGATCCAAGTGAAGATGAGATCATACGGCATTAGAGGACCCTGTTCCAGTGACTGGTATGCTTACAAGAAGGGGGATATCTGGGTACAGAGACACGGAAGAAAACCATGCGAGGACAGATACCAGAAGACAGGGATTACAGTGATGCAGCTCTGAGCCAAGGAATGCTGGCCACTGCCAGAAGCTGTTTGAGGCAAGAAAGGCTCCACCTTCACCACTCTCACCACCCGCACCAGTCCTCAGAGGGAGCATGATCCTGCCAACACCTGGATTTTTTTGGACTTCCAGTCTCTAGACCTGTGAAAGAATACATTTCCTGTTGTTTTGAGCTACTCAGTTCATGGTACTTTGTTATAGCAGCCCTAAGAAGTGAATACCACGTATCTAGAAGTACAGACCAGCAGATGTCATGGGAAGTAGAAGAGAAAAGGGCAAGATTTCTAGGGATTGACTGTGTCTCCTATAATCTATTTTGGGGCAAAAAAGAGAATACAACGATACTTATTCAGGGTATAATTAATGATTATAAGTATAGGGACTCGAGGATACATTTCTATTTTTAGTCACAGAAGATTCAGGGAAAATGCTTTGAGTGATGTAGGAAGGATTTATGTTAGATATGAATCTGGATGGAAAGAGGTATTAGGCACTTGTTAGAACCCAAAATGTGTTTCTAAAAAGCTGGGTATACATCAATTTTTAAAAATTAATGTATTTTAAATGTAGTAATAATTTAGGAACCCAGTATTTAAAGCAATTGTATGATAAAGTCAGATAGAAGAGAAAGAATGAAGAATAGCCTGGGAAGAAATATTCATACCTTAATATAATTTATATATCTAAGTTTTCATAATTCCCATTTGCCTAAAACAAGAACTGTGTATACAAAAGAAGAGAATAGGTAAATTTTAACTAAAGATGAAAAGAAAATGGCAGTGCCTATATATAAGCTTTCTTAGTGCAGGCATTTTTGTTCATTCTCTTTAGTGGGGGTAAATGATGCTGACACATAAGTTCCAGGTAATTTACATTGTTACCAGAAGTACTGGGATTCCATGGTCTTCATGCGATCTAATACTTCATTGTCGTGACCTTCAACACAAGTTTATTTCTATGAGGCAGGATGTGAGAAATAATAAAAAACAAAGGATTATGGGATTAAAAGGGTACATTAAAATCTGAAAAGCTGTCAAACTGTATCTATAAAATGGACTACCTAAGGTAGTAATGTTGCACTCCACCTGTCTTTCCCCAAAAGTGCCCCAGAGCGCTATGGAGCTCCTCCAGCAGTGTCACTATTAGATGCTAGTAGTTCACTCTTTAGTGACAGATGGCACCTAAGTGCAGATTACTTATGATGCCGAATGTTTGTAGTTCTAAAATTGACCACTGGCATTTATCTGCCTAATTTTCATATATATTTTTTTCTAAACTGCTGTAAAATCAGCAAAAATGCCTTGGCAATTTTAGCATAGTTCCTAGGATATTGGTTGGCACTCAAAGGGTTAATCTAGGCTCTGGAAGCGTTCTTAGAAGGGCGGGGTAAGGCTTTAGCGAGCTCAGGAGGTCTCATCCTGCCACTGGGCAGGAAACATATGAAATCAGTTTGGCCACCTGGGGCTCATTTCGTGCACCAGAGCAGTAATTTGCTAAATGGATCCCTCCTAGTAAAAAAAGAATGAGTAAGTAGTGAGCAATTTAGTCATGGTAAACCACTAGTAGCTCAAGGGATATAAAAATGTGAAACTATAATTAGATTCCTGTTCATAATGTACTAACTAAATGTATTACATTGTATATTGCATCTTTCTAAGTTTATTTCTGGACACAGCTGAGTCCTTAACAGACGGAAGGCATCCCAGCTATCAATTCATGCCTCCATTAAAATTCCAACTACTTATATTAGAAAAAAAATTCCAAAGATAGTTTCTTTTATCTTGGATCTAAGGATGCAAACAGGGTTAACCTAGATGCAAAACACAGCAAGTCAGTAATAAGTCACACAGAATAAAATAAACTGTGGCAGTAAATTGAAAATTATGTTCTCTTTTTCTATACTTAACTGTTAAAATATTTTAACAAGTTGGCATCCAGGTTTGCAACTTTTACATCTGTTTTTTCTTTTCAGGATTATCTTTTAGCATTTTAAGAGGTGATTCTTTGAAAAGCGTGGCTAGTCAGAAATGTGATATTAGATGACTGTACATTTGCAGCACTTTAAAGGTTGGGTGTGGGGGGGTGTCATTCAGGAGTCACGTGGTTTCAGGATATTGGTCTATTCCCCACTCTACTTTAAAGTAGAAGAAGCTATTTCATGGGTGTCTGGAAAATATTTATCCTGTACTGAAGTCCTTTTCTTATTCAGTATAGTGTGTGCTGGCTCAGATGGTCTGAATGACATTTTACAATACTAGTAAACTCCAAGTACAAGTTTCATGGCCCTATCAATGTATTATCTCAACTACCAGATTCCAGTTGATCTGGTGTTAAGGGCACTGTCTATTTATGAACTCTCATTTTCTTTCTGTCTCTCCTCTCACCTTCAAGTTGAGTAACTTTATGGAAGGTTTGGAGGTGGAACAAGGTAGGAGTCACACTGTGGATCCTTGCTCTTCTTTCCACCCAACTCCAATTTTCATTATTCTGAGTAAAAGGGAATATAGCATCTTTCAGATTATGAACACTATGCATGCAATAGTTGCTACATTAGCCCCTTCCTCCTCCCAATTTAATAATTCCTTATACCATCCCTGCCCCCTTCCTATATTTTGGATTCTAAATTCTCTGAGCAATGCTTTTTCTTTAAAAATTTTCCCCTTGGAGGAGGTGTTTTGGTTATAAATAACTTCAAAGAGTGAACAAAATTCCTGGCCGATAAAAAGGCTAGGTGACTGTGTAATGCTAAATGACAAGAACCAGAGCTAGATTAAGTATAGTACTATAATTTCTTTTTGTGGTCAGACAATCATATACTTTACAAAGTGTTCTCCCTGAAATTCTAGCACCAACCTGACACCATACATAGTTATTACAATATTATTGACTATATTCCCTATGCTGTACTTTTATATCCCCATGACTATTTTGCAACTACCAATCTATACTTCTTAATCCCTTCATCACTTTTACCCCCCCACTCCTCTGGCAACCACAGGTCAGGTCTCTGTATCTGTGAATATGTTTCAATTTTGTTTGTTCATTTATTTTTTTCTTTAGCGTCCACATAAAAGTGAAATCATATGGTATTTGTCTTTCTCTGACTGACTTATTTCACTTAACATAATACCCTCTAGGTCCCTCCATGCTGTCACAAATGGGAAGACGCCATTCTTTAGTTATGGCTGAGTAATATTGCATTGCATATATGTACCACAACTTGTAAAATCCACTCATCTATTGATGGGCACTTGAGTTGCTTCCATATCTTGGCTATTGTAAATAACTGCAATGAACATAGGAGTGCATCTATTCTTTTAAATTCGTGTTTTGGCCCTGGCTGGTTTGGCTCAGTGGTTGGACTGTTGCCTCTCGGACCCAAAGGGTCCAGGTCAGATTCCCTGTGAAGGGCATGTATCTGGGTTGCAGGCCTGATTTTGGCTGGAGTCTGGGTGTGTGCGAGGAGGTAACCCATTCTCTCTCACATTGATGTTTCTCTCTCCCCCCTCCCTCCCATTCAAAAAAAGAAAAAATTATTGTTTTGAATTTCTTCAGATATATACCCAGAAGTGGAATCCCAGGTCATAAGGCAGTTCCATATTTAATTTTTTGAGGAAACTCCATATTGTTTATAATTTCTTAGGATGCTAATGGACACTGGGATAATGGTGATAGTATTTATAATTAAAACGAACTTTCCTTGAGTTTGTTACATTAGCTAAAGCAATATAACTTTAGAAAGCAGATATATGGTAGTTAATATACAGACACACTCACTGCTTTCCATGTCATTTATTCCAAACTTGAAGATGGAAGGGAAACAAATTGAGACTCCTGACGTAGGCCTTTTCTCCTTTTCAGGTATAGGCATAGGAGAGGATTGGCTCGGGATTGCATCATTTCCACCAAGCACATTTAACAATTATCCAAGTTAGAATAACCAGACATTGTCTTCCCTGGCCTTGAAAAAGTGGGGAAAACCTGAGTTTGGCTTAGTTTGTGTATTTGTATCTCACACAATGGGTGGAGGTGAGGACCTAACACTCGGGACCTTTGTACCATTTAGAGTCTCTCAAAGCCCTTATTTTCAATTAGTAGGAAAATGAAAGTCTTCTGGGGAGCGGGAACAGGAGCGGGAGGGTTGTGTACAAATTAATGAACAAGAACATTCCCGGGCACAGAGTTCAACAGCAGAGGGCACACTACCCACTGTCAATGGCCAGCAGCGGGCGGTAAGGAGGGGCAAAGTGTAAGGATCTCTGGGACTTGTAGTCCGTCCGTTTCCGCTGGGCACCTCCGTCCCTTCACTGGCACTACAAATCCCAGGATGCAACGCACGCCTCTCCTCGGCCACTCCCTCGGCACTGGGACCTCCCGGGAAACTGCCCCTGCCCCGCCCGCGTACGCACGCGTCAGGTTTGTTTACTCTGAAGCCCCGCCTCGCCTGCGTTCCCCAACTCTCCCCACTCCTCCCGGGAATGCCGTCATGCTAGTGATGCATATTCATGAAGCTCACGTGGAGCGCCCGCCCGGCCCAACTCCCGCCTTCCCGCTCCGGGCGCGTGATTAATATTCAATGAGCCTAGGTTCGCGGCTGGTTAGTCAGCGGGAGGTGGGGAGAAGGCGGGTCCTGTGCGCGGGAGCCCGCGAGCCGGGTGGGGAGGGCGTGAGTGGGGGGGCGGTGGCGGCGAGGCGGGCGCGCGGGATGGAACACCGAGACACCGACGGAATGCTCCGAATTGCCACATAATCCCCTGGAACGGCCGCGCCGATCGCCATTGGCTTCTCCCTTCTCCCCGCGCCGCCGTCTCCCACCTTGGCCTCCCCGCCTCCCTCTCCGCCCGCTGCCTCCCGGGCTGGGGGGGAAGCGCGAAGCCCCACTGCAATGGAGCCCGCCGCCGCGGCTACGGCGCAGCGACTGCCAGAGACAAGCAGAGAGGACCGGGCTCCGGCTGCGGTGGCGGCGGCAGAGGCGGCGGCGGCAGCGGCAGCTCTGGCGGCGGCCGGGGGCGTCCGGAGCCCGGAGCCCGCTCCGACCCGGGCGGCCCCGAGCGGCGGGGCGCGGGAGGAGGCCCCCGGCGAGGCGCAGCCCGGGCCGTTGCCGGGCAGAGCGGGAGGCACGGGTCGCCGGAGGCGGCGCGGCGCGCCCCAGCCCAACGCTGGCGGGGCTGCCCCGGGGTCTGGGGCCGGCAGCGGCGCCAACTCCCTCCTGCTAAGGAGAGGGCGGCTAAAGAGAAATCTGTCCGCGACCGCCGCCGCCTCGTCGTCCTCGTCCTCATCGTTGTCGTCCTCGGCCGCCGCCGCCTCGCACTCCCCCGGCGCCGCCGGCCTCTCCGCCTCCTGCTCGGCCTCGGCGTCGCTGTGCACCCGGAGCCTGGACAGGAAGACGCTGCTCCTGAAGCACCGGCAGATGCTGCAGCTGCAGCCATCGGACCGGGACTGGGTGAGGCAGCAGCTGCAGCGGGGCTGCGTGCATGTCTTCGACCGCCACTCGGCCTCGACCTACCTGCGCCCCGTGCTCTGCACGCTGGACACCACGGCTGGCGAGGTGGCCGCCCGCCTGCTGCAGGTGGGCCACAAAGGCGGCGGCGTGGTCAAGGTGCTGGGCAAGGGACCCCCCGACGTCGGCCCCCGGAACGAGCCCGTCGAGCCGCGGGACCTGGGGCCACCCCCGGGGAAGAGCGGGCCGGCTGCCGTCGGGGCCCCGCCGCGCGCGCCTCCTGCCGACCTGCCGCTGCCCCGCGGTCCGAGGGGGTGGACGCACTGCACCTCCCGTGTCAGCCCCGCGCTCTCGGATTCCAGCCCCGGCGAGCCCAGCACCCCGCGGCCCTTGGACGGCGCGGTCGCGGGCCCGGTCTCCGACACGGAGAGCTTCAGCCTGAGCCCCAGCGCCGAGAGCGTGTCCGACCGGCTGGACCCCTACAGCAGCGGCGGCGGCTCCTCGTCGTCGTCCGAGGAGCTCGAGGCCGACCCGGCTCCAGCCCCAGCGGGAGCTCCGGGCCAGTCCTGCCCGCCGGACCACGCTGCACCCACCCGGCCCGGAGCGGATGCCCGGCCGCCTTCCCCGATGGCCTCCCCGCCTCTGCTGCAGCCAAAAGCCCCGAGAGCCGTCGACTGCCTTGACGGGGCCACCTGCGATCCTCCTAGGGAGGAAAAGGCGGCAGCAGCCGTGGCCTCTGGCCTCCCCCAGGCGATCCCGGGTGGGACCGGGGCGATCGCTGAGAAGGCGCCTGCACTGCCCACCCTTTACGTGCAGTTCCACGGAGAGACCACCCGGCGCCTGGAGGCGGACGAGAAGCCATTGCAGATCCAAAATGACTACCTCTTTCAACTGGGATTTGGGGAGTTGTGGAGGGTGCAGGAGGAAGGTATGGACTCGGAGATTGGCTGCCTCATTCGCTTCTATGCAGGTAAGGAAACCACCTGCACTTGGATGTGTGGGGTGGCAACACTTTCAGGTCCCGAAAAAGGAGTCAAGTCGGTGTCTGTTGGCCAGTACACGCTGGTCCTCGGCGCTCTTTGTTATTTCTTTACAGCGTTCACGGTGGTAATCTGTGTAATACTCAGTTGAGCAATTGTTCAGTGCGCGGGTTTGGCCAATCTGAGGGCTCCGAGGTTGGGAAGCCCTGTGGAGGAGGTGGCAGGGCCACCAGGAAGTGCTGCAAGCGGAGACTCCTGACAGGGGCGGTAGTACATGTAACAGTGAACCTGTTGGGTTTTGTGGCAGTTTGGGATTTCAGGTAAACTGTCACGTGCATTTAATACCGATAGAGGAAAATGGCCAACAGAAATGCTTGAATACACTCTCTCTACATTGACTGGCCGCTGTTGGCCATTTTAGGCGTCATAGACCCCCCAGGAGCTCCTTACTTGTCAACTGGTGCACGTTCAGCTCTCTGCCGTGTTTCTGTGCCCACTTAGTCCTCCTTAGAAACTTCACAGATGGGATCCTTTTAGTGATACTCCCCCCCAGTGCTTTTATGCTTTATTACAGTTTCCTCTGCAAGTTTGATTCTTGCATCAAAAACAATTTTGTCTATTTATTTCCTATTTCCTTCATTTCTTTTTTACAACCTTTATAGCCAGAACTGACCATTGCATTGTGATTTGCAATTGAGATTAGAGTAAGACTTTAAGTGGCTAATATCTCTAAAATCCTCCTCGTTCTTTTTTCAGTTCTAGGTTAAATTTTTTTAAAATATTCTACTCTTTACTTATTCCAGCTTTATTGAGATATAATTGACATATCAAATTCTTGACTAAGGGTGACTAATATTTCTCCTTTGGTTAAAGACTTGACCAGTAATAAATTAGGGAGCCATAGATCCTGGTTGTTATATTTGAGCATTATAAGTTGTTTGCATCCTTTTCTCCTTATGGTTTGAAGAATTAATTATGTTCTTAGTGATAAGGAATTTTAAAAAGTTAGCATAACAATATTAAATCAGGAAAGTTAAATCTTCCCCAACTTTGTTATTCTAGGTTGTGGAAAAATAATCAGACTTGTAACTAATCAGTAGCCATTTGTGCTATTTAATTATTTCTAGTCCAACTTGTGTCAGTTCAGTCAGTTTGAATGAAGAAAGAAATCTTTATCCCACATTGAAGTATGCACGACCGGTAACATTCCTGTTATGTTCCTCTGAATTTCATTGAAGTTTTTCTGTAATTTAAGTGGATTTCTGATAGATTTTTGCCTTATAAAGAAAACCATGTCACAATATAATAGTATTTGCTGTTTCTGAAGATAAGATCCCAACTGGATGACGTACCTTTAAAGTTTATGGGGCCTGGAAAATAGGTGGCTTTATTTGTTATGTAGGAGTGACAGTTATATCCTTTTCTCCTATAGCTCATCTACTATGCAAAATTACAAAAGCATTAAATGGTACTCACACTTATCATGAGAATATTTTATTAACTTGAGAATGATAAATACCCATATAAACAAACTAATATATATGGAATATAGTAAACATTATTGAACATATTTTATATGGGAAGAGCTCTGCTCTCTTGTTTTCCTCATGATTACTAGTAGATATGTTGGTCATGATAAATGTTAATGGGAAGTTTTTGGGTGTCAGGGTCACGAAATTTTAATCTTGGATTTCCCCTAGATTGTCTCTTCAGGTGTGTCTAAAATACTCTTAAGTGAATGATACACAATATTTTTTTTAACATCTAAGTATAAAAGTGACAAGTTATATTTCTGGTGAATTTTTGTGGTCTTTTTGTTTTGTTCATGAAAAGCAGTAATTGTCACTTCATTCTGAACTTATTTACTGTGTTTCTGTATACACCATAAATACATATATACTTCTCTGTATACGCTCATAAAAATAACTAATAGTTGCCAAAACCGGTTTGGCTCAGTGGATAGAGGGTCGGCCTGCGGACTGAAGGGTCCCAGGTTCGATTCCGGTCAAGGGCATGTACCTGGGTTGAGGGCACATCCCAGTGGAGGATGTGCAGGAGGCAGCTGATCGATGTTTCTCTCTCATCGATGTTTCTGACTCTCTATCTCTCTCCCTTCCTCTCTGTAAAAAATCAATAAAATATATTTTTTAAAAAAAATAACTAATAGGGAGCCACACACAGTATCCAACCTGTTCTAGAATATGAAGCCAGTGTACAGGGGTCTAGAAGGAAGATGCCTGGCTGTTATAAAGATGTCTAATTGCCTTTTTAATATACAAAGTTTACCTTATTTTAAACCTATATTAATATTCCAAACATCAGTTGCTAAAGAACAAAATTGAGCAAAAATGAGTCCACTTGAACTTTTGCAAGGAAGTTGATAAACAGAAGAGCCTTGTTATTAGGTGGTCTCACTTATTATGTGTGGGAACATTGTCAGGACTGCACATGCAGCAAAAGTTTGCACCACGCTGGAGGAGATTCCTAGAAATTACTCCTGTGTTGCAATGGAATGTAGGACACACAACTGGAAAGTGTTACATTTTGGTAGTAATTCTTTTCCTTAGGAAGAAGAGAATTAGTGTTTGTTTTAGATGACACCCTCTAAGAGGGTGTTGTATGCCACATTTGCTTTTATAATTTAACATGTAACTTACTCTTGAATTTATTGCTGAATATCTTTTTGTTTATACTTGTACTTGGAATTAAGGATAGAGTAGGAAGTTATCTTTGAACTTTTAGAATATCTTCCTATGTTTAAATTGAGCATGTTATGTGCTGTCTATCTAGTTTATTTAGTCAGCTGTGTTTTTTGAGAAGTTCTAGTTTGGCCGAGAACTTTCATTCTCTTGAGGGTCACCTTTCAATTAAATTTTAGTATTTATTATCCCACTCAAGTTATTTTTAAAAGGCTTTGAAAGCCATTTGTGGTTGCTTTGAATATTTAAATATTTATTTGGGTAAAGTGAAATGACAGTCCTTAAGGAACTAGAAGGTATTGGACAAAAAGTACTCATGACGAGGTTGTTAATGAAAATTTATTTTGAAAATTGTTATTGCTCCTACCAAGCAATCTTTTTGTTGTTGTTGATTTAAAATATGAAAACATTTAAATGGCTTTCCCTGAAGTTACTTGCCTTAAGTATGGAAAGTATGTTAACATTTAATTTCCATTCAAAATCAGCTATCTTAAATTTTGCCTTAGAGTAATTTGAGGTTAAAAAAATTCAAGAATTTAGGTTTCTCAACATAATTTATGGACTTCAAAAAACTCATGAGCTTGTGTTTTGGAGTCTGAGTCATTGATGAAGTGCAGCATTAAACTATATATTTTTATAGTTTTTACTTTCTACCACCTTTTATACTTTAGTAGTCTAGCTATTTCAGTTCAAATTTTAATGGTAGGAAAGGAGTTGACGGAATGGAGAACACAGCCACTGTGCCTAGTGAATCTTGGACAAGATATTTTTATGTGTGACTTCTTAGGACTGCTGAGAATGATCTCCTTACCCCTCTCGTATATCTTCTTTTTTTCTCTTCTGGGAATGATCAAACCTTACATGGTTTCCTACATGCAAACCAAGAAGGGGTGGTTCAGCATTAAGCTGTAATATTGACAAGCAGTCTCTTATTACTATAATTACAGCAGTATTGAGTAACGTGGTATGAACATGTGACACCAGTGTGTGTCTGAACAGTCCTTTTAATTTTAAGAACAAAAGGTTTAACTTGGTTTTTTATATTTGTCATTTTTATGTAAAGTGCATGATCTTTTCTTTTGTAGCTGGTCTGATGACGTGTATTAACATGTTGGGTTTTATTTTCTTCAAAAATCTTAAAGGGCTTTCACATAAATTATCTCATTTGTCCTTGCAAAGACATTATCAAGGAGGAGTCTGTGTCAATCCTCTTTTCAGATGGAGAAACTGAAGCACAGAGAGGTTCCACTCTTGCTTGTGGTTTTTCAGTCTTTGGCAGAGCTGAGAATAGATTAGCTTTGATATTCTGTTTTGCAATTCATATCACTTTCCATGAATCGATGCTGAATTTCATTTGCACTTGAATTTTCACTTGGTTAAAAGCATTCAGAAAATATGCTATTTTTGTTGGTAATGAGGTGATATTGTCCTCTAGTCCAAAGTGGTGTTCGTTGTGAAATTTGGAGGGTTCTATTTTTGTCATGCTGCCTTTAAAAAACATAAAGAACCAAGACTGGCAAATAAGTAGACAGGATAGAAAGAGACTGAAATGTTCTAAAATAAATATCCTGGTTGCAAATAGTCATACTTGCATTTAAGGTGATACGAAATAAAGTTTACCTAACAATTCTCTATTTTCTTATTCATGCATGCCTCATTTTTTAGACTATAAATCTTAATTGGCTATAGAGAATTAACACTTCATCTCAAAAGTGGATAACTTGAGGCTAGGGGTGTGACAATACAGTTCCTTTAAATCATAGCTGTACTTAAAAAGTTTTGGGGAAAAAAACCCATCATGAAAGGTTTTCTATTTTAAAACAGAGTTATTTGTACTTTAGTGATCAGTACTGCTTTATTGGTATTACTGTGTTGTTGTACAGTTTTTATAGTTTATATGTTATATAGTGGTAGAGAGTTAGCTGTTGTCCCTGAATTTCATAGTTATTCCTAAAATGGGGTATTTGAGCTCATTGAAATAATTGTAGGAAGAGGAGATGGGTGTAAATGAGTTTGTAAAGTTTCTGTATTGAAATTTGTATCTTTTTGTTGCTATAAGATTGTTAAATCAACCTCCTTAAGTGATTGGTTATTGAAAGATTATTATTTTTAAAGTGTAAGGTGTTTTTGTTGTTTTTTATTCTCTTTCTCTTTAGAACCCTGAATTTGATTTATCGGTAACATAACATTCATTGACATCGTATGTGATCCAAGCCTAGCATAATACTCGGCATTTTAGTTTAAACATTTGTTGAGTTGAATTTGTGGAATTTTGTTCAGCAGCTGGTGGTGCGTGCCCTGATTCTTCAGCCTTCCATGCTGTTTGTGTCACCAGGG